GGCTCCAGTAGTCAAGACATTAAAAGATGTATTCCACTGGGGAATCTGCTGTAAAGGAACTCTTCAATGTACTGAGGAGCAACAGTGCCAGTTTGAAGACCAAGGTGTGCCTGATTCAAGTCATGCTTTTTTTGGTCACTTTTTGTGCATCTAAGAGCTGGACAATGAATTAAGATGGCAGAAGAATCAATGTAAAGGCATTTGGTTGTGCCAAAAGAACAAATAGTTCTATTTGGGAGGAGATGAAGCCAGGTGCTTACAGGCAAGGATGGTGAAGCTTTGTGCCTTTGGGAGTGCAGTGCAGCTTCTTACCACAAGGCCTCCAGAGCTCCCTCATAGAGTTTGGATATGTTGTTGTTAGGTGCTGTTGAGTGTGACTCATAGTGACCCTATGACAGAAGATCTGAACCTTGTTCTATCCTAGATTTACTGCCTCTGAAAACCTGCTGGAGGGTCAGCTATGAATTGACTCCAACTCAGCAGTAAACAACCACCACCATACCTCTTTTAGAAGTTAGTTGCTGTTAAGTTGGTTTCCATTAATAGGATACTGCCAACCCCAAAGCAGGTGGTTCAAATCCACTACCTGATCCATGGGAGAAAGATGCAATTAAACTGTCTCTGAAAACGAGCTGGAGCTATAGGTTAGTTCTGACTTGAGGGTACATAACAACATTGTCATTATTGCATCATTCAAAGTTGTTACTGGGTATTATCAGTTTGATTCTGATCCCCACCAAGCCTGTAGGAGAGAGAACTGCCCCACAGGTTTTCTGGGGCTGTAACCTTCACAGAGGCAGATCACCAGGTTTTCAGAGCCTTTATTGTGTGCTGTTGAGCCGCTTCTCACAGTGACCCCGGGACAGAGTGGAAACAGTGCCCAGGATTCTCTAAGTGGTGATCTTCAAAGTGCAGCAGATCAAGTCTATCCTCTTACAGAGCCAGGAGTGCTGTTGTTGTGTGCCATCAAGTGGGACTCTACCTAGCAGGTTTCAGAGACAGTAAGTCATATGGGAGATTGCCTGTCCTCCCGCAGAGCAAGAGGTGGATTTGAACCGTGAGCCTTTGGAATTGCAGTGCAGCTTCTCACCACTAGGCCATTGTAGCTCCCTATGGAGCCACTTCTGGGTTCAAACCACCAACCTTTTGGTTAAGAGTTAAGCACTCAATTACTATGCCACTCGGACTCCTTATTTAATAAAACAAACACAATTCAATTTCATCCTCTACCTTAGTAGAGATTCTGCATGACTTTTTGAGGAATTGAATCACAGAACTGAAAAACTTACCTCAACCTATTCTCTGGCTAGCTCCTTAACTCCTGGTGGGCATTCCTGCATTTTCACTAAGTTTTGTACACCCGTGTCTATCATGTATACATTTTCTGCAGTTCCCATCACCAGTCAAGATTTACCACAAAGAGGAACAACCTGAATTACTTGGTGTAATGGATTGTGTGTCCCCAAATACTTATGTGTAAATCCTCACCCATGTACCTGTAAATGTGATCCTATTTGGAATAGGGGTTTCCTTTTGTCATACTAATAAATCCATGCCAGAGTATATTCCTAATCTTAATCCCTTCTCAGAGGAGTTTTATAAAGAAAGAATAAATGCAGACACTGGGGATGGGGCAGACGCCATGTGAAAACAGATGCCTCATTAAACAGCAAAGGAGACCAGGCACCACAGCCCCCATTAGAACAAGGAGAGTGGCCCATGGGAGGAACTGACACAGTGGAGACTCCTCCTTGGATTTACAATTTCCAGAACTGGGGCAAAATACATCTATGTTCAAAATACATCTATGTTCTTTAAATAAGTCACTCATTTGTGGCAGTAATAATGTAACACTGTTCAAACCCACCAGCTGTTCCTCAGGAGAAAGATGGGCAGTCTGCTCTTTTGTGATTTGCAATCTCTGAAAACCTGCTGGAGGGTCAGTTATGAATCAGTCCCAAATTGATGGCACATAACAGCACAGAAAATTATTAAGACATTTGGTAAGGAAAAAAAGTGAAAGACGGCTGTCAGGCTGGTCTCAGCATGCTGCTTCTGCCAGGGAGCCCAGTGGGAAAGAATTATTTGAGTGAAAACACCATCCTACAAAGTTCGGGCAGAAATGACGCAAATTCCTCCCTCAAAATTCATCAGAATGCAAGTTGTTTGTAATCTGAATATTTTCCTTCAAACAACTTTGGCAAACATGCCATTGATTTTACCAAATACAAGAGTTATCAGTAACACAAGTGCCTGATTTGAATCCACTGCACTTCTCGTTTTTTAGCAGTTACTAGAATTAATTCATATTTGCTGCTGTAATTGTTATAAGGAATCTATAGGTAGTGAAAATGGTACACTTGGCTGCTAACCAAAACAATGTGCTTTCCAAAAAACCAGCCTAGTAAACACTGTGAAGCACAATTCTACCCTGACACATATGGGGTCACCACAAGTTGGACTTGATTTGATGACAACTAGAAACTGACTAAAGCAAGGATGAGAGTCATTGTTCACAGGGTCACAAGTCATAGTTGACTTGACGGCACATAACAACAGACAGAAATTGTTATAAAGCCAGCTAAGTTATGGGCTAGAGGAAACAGAAGGGCCAGGCTTGAATAGAGAGTAAGGGAGTAGAGTCAAGGTTCACTTATGCTGTTTATTCTAAGATCTCCGGCAAAGTGCTTCCCCATGTGTAAAACAAAAGAACTAGATGAGAAATGTTCCTCTAACATGTCTATCTCTGAAATACTGCTTTAAGCTTTTAACTGAAAATTTCAGTATACTGTGGGAAACTGGCTTTCTCTCACAGCCAAGGATTTTTATGCTTAATGTACCAGTCATATTTTACATTGGCATTTGCTTAATTGCATAAGTGGGACAGATACTCTATAGATTTATATTAGCACTCTTGATCATTTCTTTGTAGCCTTGTTAAGCAAAATTAACAAGGATAAAATAACAATGGGGAAGAAACCATATTAAAGACATGTTGAATTGGAAAAAAAATCTGTCAAGTGCTCCTCTCCAAAGTGCTAGAGTAAGGATGTCAGTTTAAAGACTAAGGTGCACACTATCCAACCAATGGCCTTTTCAGTTGCTTCCTGTGCATCTGATAGTTGGACAATGAATAAGGAAGATCAAAGAAGAATCAATACCTTTGAATTGTGGAATTGGAGGAGTATTCACTATCTCATGGACTGCCAAAAGCACAAACAAATCTGTCTTGGAGGAAGAACAACCAGAGTGCTCCTTAAAGGCAAGGATGGTGACTGTCTAACATACTTCGAGCATGTTTTCATGACGACCTAGTCCTTGGAAAAAGGCATGAAGCTTGGAAAGGTAGAGGGTCAGAGAAAGACCCCCAACAAGATGAACTGACACAGTGACTGTAACAACGGGTTGGAGCATATCAGATAGTAAGGATGGTACAGGATAGGGCAAGGTTCAGATCTGTTGTTCCCAGAATTGCTATGAGTCAAGTTGACTGGATGACACCTAATAAACACAGTTTATCCATCAAGCTATTTTGGATAATGAATTTATGGACCTGTAACATAATTATACCCAAGAGTAACATGTTATATGCATAAGGGGGGGAAAAAAATCAGGAAATACAAAACATTTGTTACTGCAAGCAATTTTAATACAAAAGTGTCTTGTTTTTAAACAGTTCATTGGTAGAGCTTCAGTTTCTGCCTCAATTAAAACCAATTGAGATAATCACACAGCAACATGGTCGGAGCTGAAGAGGAACAGCAGCTAAAAAATAGGAGCCCCATAAAGCCCCTCTTCGTGGTCACTTAGTCAGTTGACTTTATTATGCACAAAAGAAGACGGAAGCAAACGGGACTTGTTAACAAGTGTGCTGGTGAAGTCCTTTAAAGGACAAGCAAGTGTTTTTGTCTTATGTCCACATTTTCAGAGTAAGCTCGTGGAATTCATTCCTCCATCTGTGGGAAGTTGATCGACCATTTAAATAAATAGAAAAGAATGCAGATAAAGAAATCTCTAATTCACAACACCACCGAGGAGACTCCTGTTGCCACGGGCTTGGGTCTCAGAGCAGCACAGGAGCTACCGGTGGCTCAGCTGGATAGGAAGTTACAAACCAGGACTCTTAAAAACCCCAATGTTCTGACATTTTTCTGAACACTTACATTTACCCCTGAATTCTAGCAGCTATTTGTCCTTTAAACACCCAATATTGAGACAGTATTCAAAGACAGTATTGCAATGAACTCTTCTTGCTGTATTATGTGCAAATTATTACCTAGATGAGGTTCCCTCTCCTCAGCTAAAATCACACAACATTAAAAACAATGGAAAAAGCAGTTCTAAACGCCCTCCCCTCAGTTCTTCCCTACTGAGGTGTCTGTGATTTAAAAAAAAAAGAGTTCCTTAAACACTGCAGGATTCTTATTTTTTTTTTTTTAATATAATTTATCTTGCTGAGATAGCAAGTCAAGTTTATAAAGAAGATGAATTTAGGAATAATCCTAAAAGATATAGCAGGTTTACAACCCTGCACTGCGCAGAAACCCTAGTTAGAGGCTTTTCATTTTTAATACACATTTGCATCTTGACCTTTTCACGTGTTTTTCTCAAATATTTCATTTCT